AAGACTCCTAGCTGTTAGGTTTGATCGAGCAATTGAATTGATACCCCTCCCCCCAGGAACTGACTTCCCAGGGCATTTCACTATGGACATTCCCTTTTGCTGAGGGTATACTTTACTTGCTGAGACCACATTCCATTATCTCTCCCCTTCAGACATGCACAGAGAATTCCCCGCCAAGAAAAAGCCCGCCAAAAGTCCTTTAAAAACCGCTGACTCCCGTCACTGGGTGCTGGAGCTATCCAGGTTCAGCCACCTGGCGTGAATATGATCAAATAAATTTGTGATCCCTCACCATTCTGGCCTCCTGCGTTCCCCCTTTGGCGACCTAACACTAGCCAGGCTCCTCTGAGCCTCTTCTCACCTAGGCCTCAACCTTGGTCTATAAAGACTTGAATAAACACTAACATAGTTCCTAACAGTTCAAGGCCACATCCCTAGGATAACTCTAGCCCCCCTTAAAGTGCCTCCTGGAGATGACTCGGGCTGCCACAAGAATTTGCTGTCTGTTCCAGGGACACATGAATGTACGGCTCCTGTCTGGGTCTCGCATGGACCAAGCTCCCTTCCTGCTTTCTGCAATTTCTCACCTCCCTGACTCTACAGATCCTGCCATCCTAGTTCCCCATCCTCTCTTTAAAACAGCAGTCACCTCTGGACACATCAAAGTTGAATTCAGTTCACACTGGACTCTTTTCCCTATGACAGCACTTTTTACTGATCAAAAGTTGTCCTAACCACTTTAACTAGCTCCCAGGTTTATCACTGTACAGTTCCTCAATAAGTTTATGTCTATTTATGGAAATAGAAACTGAATGTTGTCATTCCTTCCCATTAACTTGTGAAGCTCTGTGAACCATCTTCTGCATTGACGGTCTGGGTTTTCATGCTTTTGGAGAAAAGGTATTTGATAAGACAAGAAAATCATAGCTCGGCTGTGACGATTCAATTAGAGGTTTTTTGAGACCCTTGAAAGATCAAGGTTTGTCTTTCATCCTTATCTATGGTAAATGTTTTTCTGTGCAGAAATTTAAAATGTTTATATAGTCTTTTCCTATATCGTTACCCTATAAGAGAAAGGGTTTTTCTAGAATTCTGAAATCTCCCTTTTCATGTGAATAGTACATGGCGATGTGAAATTAAGAGTCTTATTATAAGCTTGCTCCACCCTTGTCTATTTGCCGCCCATCCCCCAAATCACTATCTATATCAGCAACCAGAGCACTCTTTTAAAATGCAAAACTGGCCCTAACAGGTTTGGCTCAGTGGATAGAGAGTGGGCCTGCGGACTGAAAGGTCCCAGGTTCGATTCCGGTCAAGGGCATGTACCTTGGTTGTGGCCACATCCCCAGTAGGGGGTGTGCAGAAGGCAGCTGATCGATGTTTCTCTCTCATTGATGTTTCTGACTCTCTATCTCTCTCCCTTCCTCTCTGTAAAAATCAATAAAATATATTTTAAAAAAAATAAAATGCAAAACTGATTGTGTCCCTCACCCACTTAAAACCCTTAAATTATTTCCCATTACTCCTGAGGGAAGAAATCCAAAGTCCTCGACACATCTGTAAGGGACAATCTCCCCTGCACGCCTCTCCACTTTGCTCACCAAAGCCAGTCCCTAAGCCTGGAACAACCAATATCTGTCCCATCTCTGGGTCTCTGTATCAGCTGCCATCCTACTTGAAATGCTATTTCCCTTTACAAGTTGTCAACTCTTCATACTTCGGTCTCCACTGCCACCATGCTAATTTCAAGCTGCAATGTGACGGCAACCGGAGTACCACGTGATATTAACAAATAAGTAGAACTAGAACGATGCCAGGCATAGGGTAAGTGTGCAGGAAGTGCTGATTGAATGTGGAACTGAGATAAAATCCCATTCTATTCTATAATTGAGTCCTTTGTGGTGGTCTAACTGGCAAACTGTATGAGGGCATCTGGAAGTTGTGGAGGATTCCTCCAAAAACAGCTTGTCGAATGAATCACCACAATAGGTTCTTAAGTGAAGAAACCCTGACTCCTAACAAAGAGACTCTGTGTATCCAGCTTTCTTTGAATCCTGAGAGGCTATATGATTTCAGTGAGGAGCAGCACAGAGCTGCTCAAGAGACAGCGAGAGCTCTGGGAGGCTGTAGGAGGGGCCAGAGAAGAGCTAGTTCAGGCGGCGTTTGGTGGAGTTTGAACTTTGAGGGGTGATGAGTTTGAGGGGATAAGGCTGGAGATGGTGCAACTGCCACACCATTGGTGACAACAGGAGTGAGGCAGCAAAGAGGATTTTGAAAGATTTTGCTGGGAGTTACGAATGTACTTCCCCATGGACACCCCTTTAAGAGGCTTTTGTAGATTTAAAATGTTTTCAGTGCTTTGATAGGATGCTGGACTGAGTTTCTTTTGATGTGGTACCATGTTAAGCCTGGCCACGAAAAACAGTCTTACTTGTGTTACCCAGACCTTATAGTCCCCATAGCTACGCGGCCATGCCTAGAGGGGCCTAGAATGCAAAACTGGGTGTGAAGTCCAAGGATACATATATGCAGGAAGGACCTCAACCATCTATAGCAGGACCCGCAGGCCTGACTCCGCTGAACCTAGGCATGCCCTGACTTCTTGCCATTTCCCAGAATAAGTGGGAAGGCGGTGCCTGATCTACTGGTAAGGGGCCTGTACTGGTCCCACCTATATTTGTTGAGGCTTTAATACTTGTAACCAAATCTCCCCTTTTCTATTTTCTTGGACTATATAACCCACGACTCCTATTATTCTATACCATTAAAGTTTTTAACTACTAAACATCTTGAAACATTCATTTTAAAGAGATTTAAAAATTTATAAATATAGTCACTAAGTATGTAAACATTTTACTAATTAAGATGTAAACACTATACTTGGTTTAATAGTCTGTTTCAGGGCAAAAGGAGGAGGAGGAAGAAGAGGAGGGAAAAGATAGAGGAGGAGAAAGGAAAGGCGAAGAGGAGAGGGAGGGAAAGGATGAAGAGAAGGAGGCAAAGAATTAAGTGAAATTAGAAGCTAGTCTCCCAGTTGGTATCTTCCCTATTGATGGTGGTGCCTCGTGCCTCGTGCCTCTCAAAGGGTGTCTCAAATTCACTCGGGATACCCATTAAAAACACAAAATTCTGTACATGGTGCCATATACAGAATGAATCTTTGGCTGAAGTCATGGATGTTCATGTGACCAAGTTGGTTACCCTGGTGATTCTGACACACAGAAGCTGGAGGGAAGTCCAAGGGAAGGCTGACCCATTAGTTCAGGAGTGACACCACACCTGCTGTCTGAAGAGCTCCCCCGACCCCAAACCCAGACAACACCTTTTGTCTGAAAACTGCACCCCTATTTTGGGTTCTGCACCCCATTACCATGAGCAGTGGGGGTTTTCTTCCACACCACCAAGCAACTCAGTTCTGACACTATCTCCCTGGAGGGGGCATCAGGTCCCTCAGCGGAGGGCTCCGTCCCGCAAGGCTGCCCCCACTTCAGGTGCCAGTCACAGTCCTGGTTCTTACCTGCACTTCTGACCAACTGGCTGTGAGTCGGAGGTTCCCATGACTCCTCTTTGGGTTTGATTATGTGCTCAAGTCACATGGCTCAGGAAACCTGTCTACTTACTAGATTGTCAGTTTATAGCAAAGGATGTTATTAGCGTATGAATCCAAAGCCAGATGAAGAGACACAGAGGGCGAGGTCTCAAACAAAGGCACTTCTGTCCGCGTGGAGTGTGGGGCCCTGCCCAGTGGCACAGACAGCATTCCGGCTCCCCACCTGGAAGCTGCCCACACCCTCCCTTTGGGGTTTTTACGGAGGCTTCAGCACACAGGAGTGACGGACTAAATCCCTGGCCACTGGTCACAGACTCAACCTCCAGCCCCTCTTCCCTCCCGGGAGGTCAGGGTGGTGGGACTGAAAATCCCAATCCTCTAATCACATGGTTGGTTCTCCTGACAACCAGTCCCCACCCTTAGGTACAGTCCAAAGACGTCCTTGTGGCTCTCGTCACTTAGGAAACCGCATGGGTCTTAGGAGCTCTGTGGCAGAAACCAGGATGAAGACCAAATACATCTTTCTGGTTACAGAATCACGGTATCACAAACCGCCTTCCGTGGCCTTTGTCCATAGCCCTGACTCTTGGCCATAACTGATTTAGCTTAAGGATGAACAGTTAGCCAGACCTGGCCAATGAGAGGCCCTTTCTAGGGATGCAGAGAGGCATCACTGTCTTCTGGAGGCTGGATGGAAGGACACGTGCTTTGGATTTGTGGGGCCACACACACAGGCAGCCCAGCACACTGGTTTCCAGGGAGACGTGTAAAGCCTGAGGAGCCACCACGGCCCCGGACAGGCCAGAGGAGGCAGGGCCTGGGTTCCTGTCTGCCCCCTGCCTGCAGCAGACCCTCCAGGGCCCAGCCTCACTCCTGCGTTTTTCTGTTGCAGCAGCTCAGGTGGATTCCCATTTCTTGTGGCCAAAAGAGCATGAATAGAGGGGGCCCAGCCACCTAGCCCTCTGAGGCACCAGGCCCACGCAGGTCGCCAGATCTGCCTGTTTCCCTCCCAAAACAATCCCATCCACGGGTCCAAGTCAGCCCTGGATTTGCCCCAGCCTGTGTCTGATTTGCGTGACCACTGGACCTCCCGTGCCCAGGCCCACCTCCCAGCACCTCGGCTCTGTTGTTCAATTGCACCCCAGGTGGAGCCCATTGTCATCCAACTGCACAAGCCCCTAGTGTCACCCATTTCTTCGGCATCCTCCCCCAACAGCACCAACAAGACCCAAACCCTGCTCGCAATGCAACACCTGCGTGGGACTGATGGGAGCTGGGGCAGTATTTAGCTTCCTTCCCTATCCAAATTCACCCAACAGTGAACAACGGCATCTCAAGAAAACTCCCCGATAAAACAGAAATCCTGGTTACACCCTTACCCCAAAGGGACCCGGTCCCCCTTTACCCACCTGCCTTAGGCCCACCCTCCTGCAGAGACTCGTGGGTGTACCTGGGATATAAATGGTGCCACCATTGCTCCAATGCGACACAGAGAGCCGCTGGTCCCCATCCCCAAAGCACGCATGGTGGTGGGGTAGACCTGGAGAGAGGGCACAGAGCACCAGTTAGTCCAGGCCTCTTCCTTCTCGCCTGCCCTTCCCTCCCCGGGTCAGGCTTTGGTGTACACAGGGGTCGGCAAAAGCAGAGAAATTACCAGCCTTCATTACCTCAAAGATAAATCATAAGTAAGGATACTATTACTACTAATAGTAATACGATAATTAATAAGTAACAATACAAGAATAAACTGTGTGTGGCATACTCACAACTGAAAACCTACTTTTGTCCACACCTGTACATTAAATACCAAAGATTCTATATAGAATATCGAAGGCATTCATTTCCCAGGTACACTACTTTGAATTTTTAAACTTTATAACTATCACAAAAAGAATAAGCACTTAGAAATTATCCTTTAAGTGAGCAAATTCCTAACTATGTATTTTTTATGTCTTATTGATTTCAGAGAGGAAGGGAGAGAGAGAAAGAGTTAGAAACATCAATGATAAGAGAGAATCATTGATCGGCTGCCTCCTGCACACCCCATACTGGGATCAAGCCCGCAACCCAGGCATGTGTCCTTGACCAGAATCAAACCTGGAACCCTTCAGTCTGCAGGCCGATGCTCTATCCACTGAGCCAAACCAGCTAGGGCCAAACTATATGTTTAATTGAATATTCAAAATATAATTTTAAAAAAGCAAGCTCTGGAATCAGACAGATTTCCACTTTAGAGCTAAAATGCATAAGGGTGGTTCTACTGAAGGAAAATACTTCCCAAGTAGTGATTCAATGAAACCTTAAATAAAGAAACAGTGCCATCTGAAAGGTCACTGGTTCGATTCCCAGTCAGGGCACATGCCCAGGTTGTGGGTTCAATCCCCGGTTGGGGTACATGCAGGAGGAGGTCTATCAATGTTTCTCTCTCATCATTGTTTCTCTCTCTCTCTCCCTTTCCCTCCCTCCCTCCCTCCCTCTCCTCTCTCTAAAATCAATAAAAACATATTTAAAAAAGAGACAGTGCTAGATACATGCTACACCCTCACTATGTTCTCACTGCAAAATCTTATGACGTAATCTACTTTCTTTCTGCAACTTTCCTACCTTTATAGTAAAACCTCATTAAACTGTACTTCATTAATTCAGAATTCTTATAGGAACGGGCAAAAGTTGAATAAGAAAGCAAATGTTATGTAACAAATGAGATTATAGGGAGAATATTTAAAAGGGTGGTTTTTAAAAACTCTGGAGAATTTTCTCTCAATACTATACAACACTCAAAAAACAGTTTTTTTCATTTCATTAAAACAAAGCACGCAGTCCTTTTACTAGGCCGTGTCTTGTTAGCCACCACCTGTCAAGTGCAAAAGCGAAATGCATTCCTGCCTCAGCAGCCACTGCTATGTTTATAGGAGAAGGCGGGGGGCTCGGGGGGGGGGGGGGGGGGAGGCGGGATGCGTCCCAGGGGAGCTTGCTTGCTTTTTCTAGAAAATGAGACTGCCGACTGGACCTGAAAATAACGGATTTGGATACGTGGTGATGTTTTTTCTCTATATAATATTAATAAAGTCTTTTGTTCAGATTTTGACAATTCTTGGAGATAGAATAATAGTTGATTTTTAAAATAAGTATCAGGAGCCGAAACCGGTTTGGCTCAGTGGATAGAGCGTCGGCCTGCGGACTGAAGGGTCCCAGGTTCGATTCCGGTCAGGGGCATGTACCTGGGTTGTGGGCACATCCCCGGTGGGGGATGTGCAGGAGGCGGCTGGTCGATGTTTCTCTCTCATCGATGTTTCTGACTCTCTCTCTCTCTCTCTTCCTCTCTGTAAAAAATCAATAAAATATATTTAAAAAAAAAATAAGTATCAGGAAAAAAAAAACATTCCAAAATGTTAAACTGAACATTGCAAATATAGCTTTAGAAGCAGAGCATATTACACACTGATTCTAAATCACAAAATCATTTTAGAAGATGTTGTTAATGGAATTAACGAAGTGTCTGTATATGCCAAATATCTCATCATTTCCTATGTTTATCTGGGCGGGGAGAATATCTCCCTGTGGCTCTCATGTCTGACACGTCAGGTCTGTAATCGGAACAGCCTTCACGTTTCCAGGAATGGCGACAAAGGCGGTTTGCCAGTCCCGACAGCACGTCTTTCTCCAGCTCACTGAAGGACAAAACCAGTACAGCACTATGTTTCCTCCCCAGAAACTGCTCATTTCTAGGGATATTAGCTCTTTAGAGTGAGGGTTAATGAGAGGAGCCTCTAGCTCCCTCAGGCAGGGCCTTGCATATAGTAGATGTATCAATTCAGTAAATTCAGAAAGACTATATTACTATTGAATTTCAATGTAAGCTACATGCAGCAAATGACAGATGAAGGGGGTGTGACCTTTCAAAGGAATAAAGGTGAAAAATACATCCCAATTTCAAAAAGAGGGAAATCGGGAGGTCTACATTTTAACAGCAACATGCAGCTGGGGCCCTATTCTCTGAAAGCATGCTGCTAGGTCAGGGGGTTGTGTCTTATATGAATGCTGTCTAGGGAGAGGGAGGAGGTCCTATCTTTCTTCTCAGACACTGGCTTGCACTAGACTCAGGGAGCAGGGGAAACTCCCTATCAAATCAACCTTCTGGCATCATTGTAATGGGATGTTTTTAGAAAATCATCAAAAGTCAACAGAAACCAGGGATGCGTTCTCTATGGATGGACATCCTTTCTCAGTAGCTCAGCTTACACGCCCTGAAGAAACCAACCCTTCCCCAAACTGACCTCAGCGGTGTAAATGTAGATGGTGTTGAAGTTGGCAGCCACCAAAGCCCTCAGCATAAAGAGGAAGCTGATGAGGCCAGCACTAGGGAACAGGAAGCAAGAGAAAGGTTACCAAAGGCAACGTGCAGTGTCTTCCATGGCCCCGGCCAAGTGTCTTACAGATGCCCTCGCCCACCCACAGATGACCAGCTGCTCGATGAGGGGTCCTAAAGCAGATGCCCGACTTGAACCTTCAATCCTGCTCCCTGATCTCTCCACTCCCCGAAGTGTGCCATTCTAGCCTGGCCCCCACTTCCCCAAAATGGTGAAGATAGTTTGCAGAATAAGTGGTTTATATTATAACTGAGGCCACTCTGGGGTGGCAAATTAAAAGTTAAATGAATTTTCACACCACAGGTATGTGTTGTTTTATGTTATGTTATATATGACTAAACTATCTTGACTTATAGTCAGGATAATTTGTTAACAACGAGAGTCCCATTTCTCCAGGATCCTAAATATGTTGGTGAGTGAAAAGAGACTTGACCCTGACCTCCCAATGAACACCATGGGTTAGAACCGTGGTCGGCAAACTGCGGCTCGCGAGCCACATGCGGCTCTTTGGCCCCTTGAGTGTGGCTCTTCCACAAAATACCACGTGTGGGCGTGCACGTACAGTGCGATTAAAACTTCATGGCCCATGCGCAGAAGTCGGTATTTTATGGAAGAGCCGGTATTTTGTGGAAGAGCCACGCTGAAGGGGCCAAAGAGCCGCATGTGGCTCGCGAGCTGCGGTTTGCCGAGCCGCGGTTTGCCGACCACTGGGTTAGAAGATCCCATCTTAAAACCACTGCACAAAACTCGATTACTTTGAAGCAACCAGAGAGAATATACCTTGAAGTGCAAATGTTGAGGAGAAGGAAGAATAAAGCTGTGCAGCCCATGGTGATAGACAGGCTCAGCCGTCTGCCCAGGAAATTAATGCCCAGGATGTTCAGAGGATTCACTAGGAAGCAAATGACAAAGACCATTTCTGGAACCTTGGGCGGGTGGCATGGGTTCCTCCTCCTCATTTCAGGAAGAAGCAGCTTCACAAATCGTGTGCATATTCCAGCCGAGACCCTCACACTGTCATCAGCCTTCGACATACTTTCCCCACGTGGGTCCAAGAATGACAAGCACTGGTGTGTATCAAGGATTTGTTCATGTCCAGGGTGCTTACCATGTAGGTGTGTTGTAAATTGCCTACTTGCTAGGCCTATATTTTAAAGGTATACTGTTTTTCATCAAATTCAAGGTGTCATTGAAATTTAAGTACCGTTATTACCATTATTTTATGTCTACTAAGACAGAAACAGTACTGCAAATTAAAATCTAACATGCCATTGTAAGATGCATCCCAATTTCAGAGAGGTTAAAATGTGAAGAAAGCCTGGCCGGCGTGGCTTAGTGGTTGAGCGTCGACCTATGAACCAGGAGGTCACGGATCGATTCTCAGTCCGGGCACATGGCCAGGTTTGGGCTCATCTGCCCTGTGTGTGGTGTGCAAGAGGCAGCCAATCAGTGATTCTCTCTCATCACTGATGTTTCTCTCTCTCCCTTCTCTGAAATTAATTTAAAAATATATTTTTTAAATGTGAAGAAACAAATACATCTTAAAATGGACAGGATTTCGTAACTCAAAGCTCCGCTCTTCCAGACTTCTCCCCACCCCGAACCACACGGGCGGGCGGCTGTCAGCGGGATCCCACGATCCAGAATCATGCTCAGTTCTACCAGGCAGGAGCCGCGTCTACGGAGCGTCACACTTCTCCCCTCTGGGCTGAGTTGCCTGTCCCCGACCCAAAACAGAGAGAGGCTCGATACGTAGAGACACTTACGGGCAATTTCACCAACGGTGCTGATAATCATGGTCCGGTAGTCGGAGGGGGCAAACATGTGGCAGTAACAGGGACTCTGGCTCTCCTCTGAGACCCCCACGCTCACCACCGCCTCGGACTCGGACCTCGAACCACAGACCAGGTCCCGCTCCAGCAGCTCGGTGCTGGCCAGGATGACCCCGTAGTAGGCGAAAGAGATGCCCAGCCTGGAAGTGAGAAAAGATGGACATGAGAAAAGCGGGTGCCACCAAGAGCTGCAGGGAGACGTGAAAGGGCTTCAGGTGGAAGGCTGGGGGTAGGAGGGGGCAGGGATGGCGCCAGGAAAAACCCCCGGCTCACATATCTGGGGATTGGAGGCCACACAGTGGGAAACAGATTTGCAAGAGCAGGAGGAGCCGGGTTAGGAGGACCCACAGGCCCGGTGAAGGAGTTTGAAGCCTAGATTCGTTTCCTGTGGCTGCTGTAACGAGTTAGCATAACTTTGTGGCTTAAAACAACACACGTCCAGTACCTCGCAGTTCTGGAGGTCAGAAGCGCTATGGGTCTGGCTCAAGCTCTGCTCCAAGTCTCAGAGGCAAACGTGCAAGTGTAGGCAGGTCGTAGGCTTTCTGGGGGGAGAATCCATTTTCCAAGCTCACCCAGATGGTTGGCAGAATTCAGCCCCGTGGGGCGGGAGAACTCATACCTGTTTCCTCGCTGGCTGTGGACCAGTTGTTCTCAGCTTCTACCTGCTTCCCTCACTCCCTGTCTTCAAAGCCAGCAGCATGTGGTCGAGACCTCATGCTTCGAGTCTCTCTGTCCTCTCCTCCTGCCTCTTCTGTTTTCTCTTCTCCAGCTCTCTGCCCAGCTGGAGAAACTTCTCTACTTTTAAGGACGCAAGTGATTCGATGGGGCCCACCTGCTGAATCCGAATCATCTCTGTGTGTTAAGGCCCGAGATCTTAATTACATCTTCACAGCCCCTTCACATCAGCACCCGAATTAGAGTTTGATTGCATCAGCAGGAGCTGGGGTCATCGTGGGGTCACTTTAGAATTCTGCCTATCACAAAGGGTCTTTAACAAGCTATGATGAGCCACAGATGGTTTTTGTGTTTGCTTTATATTTTCTCCCCATTCTTTACTAGATGCCTTTGATGAGATATAAAAATAACATACAGAAAAGTTCATCTATCAAAGTCAAGAAAAAAAAAATATCAGCCTCCTGGTTTTTCAGAAATGGTTGCAAAAGCCAGCTGAAAAAGACACATGGGCACAATCAGAGGAAAACATGTATGTTCTGGGTACTGGATGATAGTAACCTGGAGGTCATTACCCTTGTCAGTGTGGTTATAGGCTTGCAGTCATCTAAGAAAATGCCCTCAAGTAGTTGAGCCTTAATGAAATATCTGGGGATGAAATGTCAGAAGCCTGGGGCTTGCTTGAAAACACTTCAGCACAGGAGAATGTAGCTGAGGCTAATAAGGGTGAATATCCATGACCGTCAGATCTGGGTGATGAGCGAATCCAAGTTCATCCTGGTATCCTCTCTACTTACACGTGTGTTTGGAAATTTTCATAATTAAATATTTAAAAAGAAAACAGTCAAAACGTCTCCCTTTGTTATTAAAGTCGCTTTAATTTGGCTGATTTCCAAATATTAACAGTATTTAAAATTTTTAAATTTTTTTAAAGTGTCAAGGGGAGACATATTAACCTATTAATAATGATTATATCAGAAGAAGGCAGATAGACAACCATTTTCCTGAATTCAAATCCTAAAGATTCATTTTGCCTATTTTCTATCTTTATATAAGTGGGATCACAGCATATGCATTATGGCTTCCTTTGCTCGTTATCACCTTTGTGAGATTCAGCTATGTCAAGTGTTGACTCCTGGCTTTCTCATCTTCATTATTGTACAGTATTCCACTTTATGAATCTAACACAATTTACCCATTATGTCGTTGATGGACATGTGGGTTGTTTATAGTTTGGGCCTGTTACAAACAAAATGATACAATGGACATTCATGTAAATGTCTTTTGGTGAATTATGTGCGCATTTCTGTTGGGTATAAGCCCAGGAGGGGAATTGCTGAGCCATAGGATATGCATATTTTCAACTGTGATAGATTTTTCCAAGCAGTTTTCCAAAGTGGTTGTACAACTTGAACTCTAATCAGCAGTGAATGCAATGGTTCCTGTTACCTTACATCCACCCAACACTTGATACAGTCAGTCTTTAATTTTGGCAGGTAGGTGGATTTGTAGTGGTGAACCAGACTTCAAAGGGTTAGAAAGTGAGGTCCTATGTTGAAATGAAAAAATAAAAAAACTGTGGACAATTAGGATTCTTTTCTTTCTCTCTTTCTTTTAAATTATTTTACTTACTTCTTTGGTTGGTGGTATTAGTAAAAAGATGAGATTGCTGGGGTCTTTCTTGTGTTTTTCTCCCCAGTAGCATTCAGTGTGGATTTACTTTAGTAGGCTTTCTATAAAACTCATTTTGATATAATTACCTTTTTAAAATCCTCAACCTATGATAGGTTTTTTAATTGATTTTTTTTTTTTGAGAGAGAGAGAGAGAGAGAGGAAGGGGAAAAGAGAGAGAGAGAGAAACATCGGTTGGTTGTCTTCTATATGTGCCCTAACCAGGAATCAAACCCGCAACCTTTTGATGCACAAGAAGATACTGCAACCAATGAGCCACCAGCCAGGGCTGAAGTAACTACATTCCTACCATATGACCCAGATCTGTAACGTGGTCCGCAAATATTTAGCATCCAACAGGTCTGCAAACCTTCCTCTTTTATCCTAGGGTAGTGAAAAGAGGGAAACAGAATAGATTCAGTGGGTTAAGGACAAGCAAAGATGCCGCTAATATTTTAGATATTAAATATGAACAAAATATAAAACAAGGACAACATGGGATGTGCGGAGGTGAAATAACCACTGAATTCCTATGAGCACAGCCCACCCAAACCCATAATCATTTTTAACACATGCATCCCAGTCAATCAGACTTTGCACACTGTTTTCATTGGCAGGTACCCGAACTCGTGGAATTTATGATTCTAGCACTTTCACTCGTCCTCTTCTCACCGGTGCTGGTGAGGGGTGTGGTAGAAAATAGGAGGATACATGAAAACACCCGTAAAACTGATGGGATATTCTTTATTATTAACATTAAAATGAAAAACCTAACATTTACGTATGTGGGGCTTTTATAAGAAAAAAAGTCATAAATTTTAAAAGAGGGTAGAACACCCGATTTCTTTTTGTGTCTTTAGGGTAATTAGCAAAAGTTCTTATCCACAGTCAGTACCTATTAAATACTTTTGCATAAAAATAAATGAGGATGAGTATTATTGACAGTCATGGATTTTATGTAAAGTTAGGAAAGCTTTGGGGGTTCTCAGCTAAAACCAACTACTCTTCTCTCACAAATAGACCTGGGATCACAGGACTCTTTTTTTTTCCTTTTTTTTTTTTGTATATGTTGTAAAATGATCACCACAATAAGTCTAGTTAACATCAAGTCTCCTTAACATCCATTACCACAAGTAGTTATAAAAAATGGGTTTTTTTGTTTTTTTGTGTTTTTTTTAATTAAATCTTTATTGTTCAGATTATTACATTTGTTCCTCTTTTTTCCCCCCATAACTCCCCTCCTCCCAGTTCCCGCCCCACCCTCCACCCTCACTCCCCACCCACTGTCCTCATCCATAGGTGCACGATTTTTGTCCAGTCTCTTCCCGCATCTCCCACACCCCTTTCCCCCCCAAGAATAGTCAGTCCATTCCCTTTCTATGTCCCTGATTCTATTATGATCACCAGATTATTTATTCATTTGATTCTTAGATTCACTTGTTGATAGATGCATGTTCGTTGTTCATAATTTGTATCTTTACCTTTTTCTTCTTCTTCCTCTTCTTAAAGGATACCTTTCAGCATTTCATATAATCCTGGTTTGGTGGTGATGAACTCCTTTAGCTTTTCCTTATCTGTGAAGCTCTTTATCTGACCTTCAGTTCTGAATGATAGTTTTGCTGGATAAAGTAATCTTGGTTGTAGGTTCTTGGTATTCATCACTTTGAATATTTCTTGCCATTCCCTTCTGGCCTGCAAAGTTTCTGTTGAGAAATCAGCTGACAGTCGTATGGGTATTTCCTTGTAGGTAACTGAGTTTCTTTCTCTTGCTGCTTTTACGATTCTCTCTTTGTCTTTTGCTCTTGGCATTTTAATTATGATGTGTCTTGGTGTGGTCCTCTTTGGATTCCTTTTGTTTGGGGTTCTCTGCGCTTCCTGGACCTGTAAGTCTATTTCTTTCACCAAGTGGGGGAAGTTTTCTGTCATTATTTCTTCAAATAGGTTTTCAATATCTTGCTCTCTCTCATCTTCTGGCACTCCTATAATTCTGATGTTGGTACGCTTGAAGCTGTCCCAGAGGCTCCTTACACTATCTTCGTATTTTCGGATTCTTTTTTCATTTTGCTTTTCTGGTTGGGTGTTTTTTGCTTCTTCACATTTCAAATCTTTGCCTTGATTCTTGTGCTCCTCTGGTCTGCTGTTGGGAGTCTGTATAGTATTCGTTATTTCAGTCCGTGTATGCTTAATTTCTAGTTGGTTCTTTATCATAACATCGAGGGTCTCATTAGATTTCTTGAGGATCTCACTACATTTATCGGCGGCTTCTAGACAGTTCTTAAGAGACCTTAAAAGTGTGGTTCTGAACTCAATATCCTCCATTGACAGTTTTGTCCTGTTTCTTTGTCTCCGCATTTTTTATGCTTTCTTGGTGCACCCCCTAGTGGTCTTTGTGCGCAGTCTTGTTGTAGTTAAGCCTTGATTGTTGTCAGCAATACTGGGGGTGATTTGACCTTCAGGCTAACTGGCTATGAGAGTCCGCTGTGTTTGCAGTGGGAGAGCTTCTGTGCTGGATCTCTAGGGTGGTGCTAATCTAGTGTTTGCCTGAGGCTATCCAGTAAATGGCTCTGCGCAGGGCTTGGGCGGGGAGAGTCCCTGGGGATCTACAGGGTGGGCCGAAGCGAGTAGTTATGGCTGCTCTCAGTTCCATCCCTAGGGGCTCTGCTTCACAGAGTCCCAGCAACCGCTGCAAACCTCGGAGAGAAAGCTGCCTTCGAGTTCTGACCGAAGCCAGACAGTCCCGCTTCTCCCGTTTGAGTCTGGGTCCCCAGAGACTCGCCCGGATCTGGAGCTCAGAGTCTGAAACTCCCTCCCAATTGAAAACAACAACCGCGCCCTCAGCCGCCAGCCTGCTCCGTGCGCACTCCGCACCTTAGTATTTCACTTCAGCACTGCGCCTCCTCTGAGTCTGGGTATGATATTCTCTTTCCTCCTAGTTGTAGAATTTCCACTCAGCCAGCCTTCCTGTGGTTCTGGATGATGTCCGTTCCGTCTTTTAGTTGTTTTTTGAAGTGGTTGTTCGAGGCAACAAACTCCGGCGTTAACCTATGCCGCCATCTTGGTTTCTCCAAAAATCCACAGGACTCTTGAGAGAGACCAGGAGTGTGGTCTGGGAGTCCAGGATTTTGTTCTCTCTCTCTCTCTCTCTCTCTCTCTCTCTCTCTCTCTCTCGTTTTGTTTTGTTTTGTTAATCTTCACCTGAGGATATTTTTCCATTGATTTTTAGGGAGAGTGGAAAGGAGAGGGAGAGACAGAAACATAGATGTGAGAGAGACACATCAATTGTTTGCCTCCTGCACGTACCCCGACCAGGGCCAGGGAACATGCAACCAAGGTACATGCCCTTTATCGGAATCGAACCCAGAACCCTTCAGTCTGTGGGCTGACACTCTATCCACTAAGCCAAACCAGCTAGGTGTCTCTCTCTCTCTCTCTCTCTCTCTCTCTCTCTCTCTCTCTCTCTCCCTCTCTCCCTCTCTCTTTGATCTCAGAGAGAAGAAGGGAGAGGGAAAGAGAGATAGAAACATGAACAATGAGAGAGAATTATCAATCATCCACCCGCCCCCCACTCCACACACACACACACATCCCCACCAGGAATTGAACTGTGACCTCCCGGTTCCTAGGTCGACGCTCAACCACTGGGCCACACCTGCCCACAGAAAGAGCTTGAAGGAATTCAGAGGTCTTTTGCTCCAGGGACCTGGAGGTTATTGTGGGTGGAGTGAAGCAACTGACACTTCACCTCCATCAGCTTTACATATTGGAGCTCTGGCTACTCATCATTGAAAACCTCTGATCTAGTCCTATCTTCCCTTTGTCCAACACAGATTATGTAGCCCAGAGAGGTTAAGTAACTTCCCCAAGATCACACAGCTGTGTGAAGGCAGAGCCAGCCCGGAATCCAGGTCTCCAGAGCAGCAGTCCCGAGCACTGGCCATCTAACTGTCTGCTATTCCCCTTGGTTTAGATAGGACTATGGTCCCCTACCTCCTCAAGTTTGCTGGAGATTCAAAAAGCTAGTCTTATAGTATCCCAATGAGTCATACGTTTTATCCTAATAAAGTTATTGGGTGAGGAACTCTTGGCTACAATCCAAAAGGGTGGACTCATCCAGCGCATCCATGGTGTGGCCCTTCCTCAAACAGACCCAAGGCCTTTCATCTCAGTGTCTGGAGTGAAGCTGCCGAGGCTCCACGGCCCACGGCATCTTGCCCAGCCTCCTCCACGTGGCTTCTGACAGCAGCCGCGTGACCAAATCCACCTCACATCCCTGCCTCTGGTCTCGGCTCACACCACTCCTCCTGCCTGTGGTGGCCTCTTTCCTCTTTTCATTGCTCAGTTTATGCCCCACCGATGCCTGAAGGTGGCTTGCCGTGCCTCACGGTCTTCTCTCTGTCCGGATCCTACACACACCCAGTCACCTGCACAGCTCACCTGGTTCTAAGTGTCTGGTTCTGTTGTTATCGATTCTTTCCCATGTAAGTCTCCTCTCTCTAACCAGATTGTAAAAGGCGGGCTCTACTGCTTGTATCTCTGCAGCCACAGAGCCTTGCACCACAGATGAGTGAGGAGGACAAGATCATTTGATGGGGGTGATGGATGGGCTACGTATGAGCGGGAGGCACAGAAGGAGTGCGGAAGGAAGCAGTGGGGAGGAGAAAGGAGAGGGATGTAAGAGGGGGTGGAGAATGGAGAGTACTGAGAATATAGAGGGGGTGGAGAAGGACAGTGGTTATTATGGGACTCGTGTCCCCCAAAGTCCATGTTGAAGTTCTAACCCCTAGAATGTGCCTATATTTGGAGATAAGGCTTTTTTTAAATTGATTTTTGTTTAGAGAGAGAGGAAGGGAGAGGGGGAGAGAGAAACATTGATGGGAGCACAGAATATTGATTGGCTGTATGTGCATGGGAGGACACCCAGCCAACTGAGCCACACCAGCCAGGGCTAGAGATAAGGCCTTAAAAGAAGTAATTAAGTTAAAAGGAAGTCATTCGGGTGGACCATAATCCAATATGACTGATGTCCTTATAAAAAGAGATCAGGACACAGACACACAGAGAGAAGATGATGTAGGGATACCAGGAGAAGACAGCCATCCACAAGCTGAGGAAAGGGGTCTCAGAAGAATATATATATATAGTCAATGAGAACACATGTGTGGGTTTTCTCTGTTAGGGACAGGAAAGACATGTGTTTTATTTATTTATATCCCAAGAGCTAGCATAATGTTTGTCACATAATAGGCTTTTATAAATATTTGTAGAATAAGTGAATAAAAGCAGGTCATCCATATCTTCTCCACATCCCTAGTACACTAAGTCTTGTTTCAATCCAACCCATCCCCATTCCTAAGGTGGGTATTATCTCTCTGCCTGAGTAACACAGAGATAGTAGATTAATACCTACTAATACCTACTCTTCAAACAGTACCTCAGGATTTTTTTTCTTTTTTATTAGTTAACTAGAGACCCGGCCTGTGCCCTCTTGCAGTCTGGGACACCTTGGGGGATGTCCGCCTGCCAGCTTAGGCCCACTCCCCCCAGGGATCGGGCCTAAGCAGGCAGTCAGACATTCCTCTCGCAGTCTGGGGATCTCACAGTCCAGGACCCCTCGCTCCTTACCACTGCCTGCAGTGGAGGAGGAAGAGGCTCCCGCCACCGCCACTGCGCTCACCAGCTGTGAACCCGGCTTCTGGCTGAGCAGCACTCTCCCTGTGGGAGCACACTGACCACTAGGGCGCAGCTCCTGCATTGAGCGTCTGCCCCCTGGTGGTCAGTGCGCATCATAGCAACTGGTTGTTCTGCTGTTTGGTTGATTTACATATTAGGGTTTTATTATATAGGATTTAAGAAAACATCCTTTTGAAGTACACGCAGAACATTAATAAAAAGTCACTATGTAGCCCAGCTGGTGTGGCTCAGGGGTTGAGCATCGACCTATGAACCAGGAGGCAATAGTTCGATTCCCGGTCAGGGCACATATCCAGGTTGTGGGCTTGATCCCCAGTGTGGGGTGCAGGAGACAACCTAACAAAGATTCTCTCTCAGCATTGATGTTTCTATCTCCCTCTCCTTTCCTCTCTGAAATCAATTATATATATAAAAACATTATATAGAGAAAAAAAAGGAAAGTCTCAATAAATCCCAAGTAATTGATAATATCCTCTGAACAAAAAAGCAATTACACTAGAAACAAAGGATTAAAAAAGATTATTAACAGATAACTCATTGGTTAAAGAGAACTCATAATAGTTACAAAGTAAAAATAAAATTACTCTGTAACAAAACTTGCTAAACGTAGCTAAATAGTTGATTAAAATTAAAAATGACTGAAAATAAATGAGCAAAGTACTGAGCTCAAGAATCTAAAAGTTAGGAGAACATAAAAAGCCGAGGCAGAACGCGAAATCAAGAGGAGAAACCCATGAGTCCGCCAAAAAGTCAATAAAGAGAGCACAACCAAAAGCAATCTTGCTGCTTGAAGTTTAATAAAACGGACGAACCTCTACTGAGACAGACCAAGAAAAAAGAGAAAGGCACAAACAAACGATATTAAAAAATGAAAACAATCTCACACAGATTTTTTTGGGAAACTCACAAGAGAACACTAGGAACAATTTCTATGAATAAATTTGAAAACCTAGATGAAGCGAACAATTTTCTACACTATATGCATTACCCAAATCGACTCAGTTAAAAGTATTAAACATAAGTAGACTCTAATTCTTACGCAAATTTAAATTAGATTTTAAAACTTCTCCTTCCACCACCCCCTAACTTTCCTCCACCACACACTTCAAAATAAATATTAGGTGTAAGTGCCTCGTAGGCAAGTTTTAGCAAACATTCAAAGAGGTTCATTCCTGTCTTGTAGATACTATTGTTGAGATGGCAGGACGGGTGAAGAAGGCGGGAGAGGTGAGGAAGGAGACGGGTGACCTCCTCCAGGAGCCTGGGCCTGAGCCGCCTGCAGGGGGTGAAGCGGGGATCTGGGCGGGTGTGTGGAATGAATGCAGATTTCCCTGAGAGCCCTGAACCAGTAGAATTTAAACACCACATTTTGGTGTGTTTTAAAAAATCATTTAATGAAGTTTACAACTTTGATATCAAAATAAGACGAGGCCAGTACAAGAAAATTAAATGTTAAATCCGTCTCTCACCTATAAACAATGATGCCAATCCTGTGACTCCCTCGGCAAGGTAGGTGTTATACCCATTGTCGCTGTTCCCTCCTGGGGCAGGACTGGAGAGCTACGGCCCCCTTCCCGCTGTCCTTACACGACTAAGGGGATTTCCGGGTGGTCCCCACGCGGGGAGAAGACCTCCCTCTGGGCACTCACCAGGATGGGCTCCCCCAGCTGCCCCTCGGGCATGGCCGAGCGGTTCATCCTGGCGATGTGCTGCAGCGTAGCCAGGGCCGCCTGCGTGTTCCCGGTGGAGACATTGAACCGAGCGGATTCAGGGATGAACTGGGCACAGATGACAAAGAACAGGAGAGCGGCAGCTGCTATGAGCCCAGGGACACGACTGTCACCTCCATGTACTAACTACACCGCCACCGCCCCAGTTTCCAGTGACGGGGAGGGTGTGGCCAGCGCAAAGGCACACAACACGCAGGCACACTCTTGCATCCCAGGTGACTTGGAACAAAAAAGGTTGCATTCTCCTTACCATGGTGTCATCTTAGACAACAGCGGGCTGACACCAAACTTCATACCAACTTGGCTCAGCAGACTTGTTAATACAATGAAATACTTGTCTGGTTGTTAAGTACCCCCTCCCCGAGGCCCCCAGTGCCCCGTCACCGCTCTGCCACCCCAGGCCTCTGCAGGGATCCCAAGACCTCCCCACCATGCAGCAGATCGCTGCAGACGGCGCCTCCAGCACCCACAGGGGCCTCCTGAATGTCGAGGCCCCTACCCCCCTGATGGGTGAGTACTTTGAGCACCACACTCGGCAACAGCACAGGTCTCCACTGAGGCTGGGACCTGGAGAATCAGCGAGGCCTGCTCCCTGCCCCGCGTGCCTCACACCTAGTCCAGGCTGCTGGTGCCTCCTCAGGAAAACATCGCCCCAGGCAGCACCTCGCTCCCCATTCCCGCAGCGATGGGCAGCGCGGGTCCTCCTCATCGCCCACCGGGAGTGTCCTGACACTTTCTAACTGCCTTTCTGCCCTCTGCTGCCCGGGCTCCATCCAGTCCTGAGCCAGCTTCCCAGCACAGAAGCCCTCTCACACCCCCAGAACCCTGGCCTACGAGGCCCTTCCTAAGCTGGACAGGCCTGTCTCCCCAGCCTCCCCCAGCATCCCTCACCCCAGCCACCCAGCCTACCTGCTCTCCCCCAGACACATTCTGTGCGTTCACACCTTCAGAGGGGCCTTGCACATTAGCCCTTTCCACCAAGCTTACTGAGATGGATGCTTAAATAAAGGAAGGAGGTGGGCAGGGGACCAGAAGGCCACTGGACCCCAGGAGGGAGGGAGGGAGGGAGGGAGGGAGCCCAGTGAGCTTCCTCACCTTGAAGGCCAAGATGAGGATGATGCCAGGAATGGAGGCGATGCGGATGAGCCAGCGCCACCCGATGGTGGGGATGACCACAGAGGCCAGGCCGATGATGAGCAGGGAGCCAGTGAGCCAGAAAACCTGGGGCAAGAATGGAAGATGAAGTCCCTGCTCTCAAACCTGCTCCAGACTTCCTCTCTCAGGAGCGGCCCCGCCCAGCATTTTACCGATGGAAGAGGGTGAGATGGAGAGAGGGTCTTTGACTGAGGAGCCCATATTCCGGTTCCACTCAGGGCCTGGCTGACTGGGGGCAGGGACTTCATTGCTCGTGGCTTTGTTTGATAGCCTGAGGGGGGGGGGGGGGGCTCATAGGCAGAGGGTCAATAACGTCACCAAAGTTTTAAAGGTCTGGGACCCCAGACACTGGCTTTTATTTTTTCAAGTAAATAATTCACTGGCTCAGAACTCAGGGTACAAAGGGGAACACTCTAGAAAGGTTTTCTTCTCCTCCTTCCCTGCCACCAATTTCTCTCCTCGGAAAGGACCTGTGTTCGGTTTATTGCACATTCCTAAAGCTGTTCTCAATATACACAAGCTAGTAAGAGTATAGTGTTGTGCTCTTCTCTTTTTTCACAGATGGTCACGTAGTATAACTAATGCTGACACTTTGCTTGTCACACTAAATATATAACTTGGAGATCGTTTTATATCAATGAGTAACGTGGCCGCCAGTTACGAGCAGGCCCCCTTGGCCGGGAATTAGGACAATTCCGAATGTTCAGCCTGAACATTATTTCTGCTCTGGCAGATGGAGAAGAAACGATAATTCCATTCCACCTCACAGAGATGGAGAGAGGATAATATCATAAAAGATTCCTTGAGGGACTGCTTAGGGGTGATTATTTTATCACCAAGGAATTCTACTACAAACATGCAAAGATTATTTTTGAAAGTGATAAGGGTACAAAAAATAATAGTAATGGGATGGAGGCTTGCGTGATCAGTTAGGGACAACCTTTCTGAAGAGACAATGGACATGAAGGGCTGTAACAAACCATTGCAGTGGGCCGGGGGACAGGTGATGTGGCACTGAAAAGGATTTTAACAATGAGATGGCAAAAAAAAATGTTTAACTCATGTATATGACACACATTTTGGAAGTCAAGGGGACAAGACTGATGGGCACTGCGGTTGAGGGCCCATTATAGAGGACGAACCAGTAGGGCTTGGTAATTCGTTGAATGGAAGTGAGGGGAAGGAAGGGGCCAGGGATGGTTCTTGAGTTTGTGGCTCAGATGACTGAAGAGATAGGATTTGCTATTAACTGAAAATAAATAAGAGTCTTCAGAGGAAGAAGAAGAGATTGGTTCTATGACTGTTGTAGTTGAGGAACATGTAGGATATTCAAGTTGCTATCAGGCAACTGGTCACCTGGGTCAGAAATTCAAGGAGGTGCTCCTGGTGGTAGATAAAGATTTTGGGGGGTCATATGCACATAGATAGCTAAAATCATTGGCGTAAATTAGATGACCCAAGGAGACCTGGAAAATAAGACAAGCAAAGAGAATACATAACCAGGAAGCATGCTAAGGACTGAGTGGCAGGTGCAAGAAGCAACCAATGAAATAATGTTAAATGTAAAACCCAACCCCTGAGTATTAAAAATGTGTGTGTCCAACTCAACAAAGATCAGAGGAAGAAATCTGGGGGCGGGGGGGGGGAGTGAATTATTTATTGTTTGTTAGGTTTCTAATTTGTTGTTGTTGTTCTTACCTAAATTTAGTATCAGAAAAATTCAAAGTAATTTAAAAGCAGTATCCTACTACTTCATTGCTGTCTTCTTCCTGGGACCTCTGAAAGGTCCGCGCTTTTGGACAAGGATGGCATCCAAGGCGGGACCAGGGCACCTAGGCTGCCGTGGCCTCTCATCAGTGGCTGGCAGGGCCGGAGGGGCTGGAGAGCATCCCAGTCCTCTCCCGAGACAAATGGCTCCTCAGGGAGGTTGCAGCATGGCCTGGTCCCACAGGCAGGGGTCAGTGACAGACTTGCAGACACTAGAATCCTGGGGAGGGAGATGAGATGCCCTAAAAGGAGTGGTGGCTATGTCTGTCCTTGGAGAAAGTTCATTCCAGATGCGTTCCTGGGCGCCTGTCACTCCAGTGAGATCAGCCATTGCAGTGTTTCCGGCTGGGAGGACGGGGGGTGCTGTGCTCTAAGTGCCGCTGCAGGTGACAGAGTCCTGGCTCAGGAAACCTGGGAAGGGGGGGGGGCCTCTGCGCCCCGCATTCCAAGCCACAGAGAGAGGACCTCCTCTAAGAGCAGTCAACCAGCCAGAAGGACACCTGGAACCCCGTGTTCTCTAGGTGCAGGAGGCTGGAGAGAGTCCCCATTTACCTTACCTGGGACAAAGGGAGCATGTAGCCTCGGTATTTTGTGGGCAAAAATTCCGTCTTTATGATCAGCCTACACAGGAAGGGGAGAAAACATAATTTTGTTTTTATAAAACCAAATAACTCATTTGAACAGTTACAATTTTTCTTGTCGCAGAGATAAACACATTGTTTGCGGGCAGTTTTTATCGTGCGCTAACAGGTGGCGCGGGCCATTTTTGCTAATTTTTTGCGCAAATGGCAACGTTCAGTAAAATTACGATAACTTCAGTTTACATATTTATACGTTACCCGCATTCTACCACTAGTCTATAAAAAACGTATTAATACGTGTCCCGCGCTCTGCTACACTGGTAGAACGTATAAATACGTTTCCCGCCTACAATGTGTAAAGACTGAGGCAACATGGACATCCATCCTTGGGAAATGGGAAGGCGTGTGTCTACTGTTCTCTTTGGGCTCCTGACCCCGGGGACGCTCCTAAAACCCTGTAACGTCCTGGGTGACAGTGATGCCCCGCAGCACCCGGGAGGCCAAACGGAGGCCTCAACCCGATCCAGGTCCTTGTCACGGAACAAGAAGGAATTCCAGAGCGTGACGGAGATTTGGCAAAGCGCAGTGCATTTACTAGAGTGAGAGTACTCGCTTGAGAAGTGGGAGTGGTGACCTTGGAGAATGAGACACCCCGGGGGCGTCTGGGTGGGAGGTTCTTATTACACGTGGGCGAGGTGGGGAGAGGGTGGCCTCTGCTTCTGACGCCAGTGGGGTGACTGTCTCCCGGCTCATCCTTGTCTCTCCTCCCCGGATAGTGATTTCCTTTCGGTTCTCCCAACCTGGACATTGGGGAGGGGGGAGGGGGGGGGGGAACAGGTGGTCAGTGAAGGTCATGTCGGTGATGTTCCAGCCAAAAGGGAGAAGGGGAGGGAGAGCCTCAGGCCTTTGTTCCCTATTCTACTTTCCTGCCTCAGTAGGGCTGTCGCTTGTTCTGCTGAGAAGCTCTCAGGCTCCGCGAGGAGGGCTGGCCACTGGAAAGACTAAGCCACGATTAGATTAGAGAGTTGGAATGCTCGGTGCTGCCCCCCAAGTGGGTCCATCCTCAGGCACGCCCCCGACACAGTGCTGCCTCCATAAAAATCTCTGCAGTGCGGCGTTCAGAGATTGTCAGGTTGCTGAGCACAGCCGTGTGCGGGAGGGTGGCGCACCCAGCTCCACAGGGAGGCTCCTGGACTCGGGGCCCTCCAGGACCCTGCCCTGGGTATGTCTTCATCTGGCTGTTCATTTGCATCCTATGAAATAGCCTTTGTAATAAATAATCCCCTTGCGATAGTAAGTAAACTGCTTTCCTGGGTTCTGCCAGCCACTCGAGCAAATTCTCAAACCTGAGAAGGGGTTTGCGGGAACTTCCAGTTCCCAGCCAAGTCAGCCAGCAGCTGTGGGTACGCTGAGGACCCGCTATTTGCACGTGGTGTGCGAAGTGGGGGGTCTTGTGGGACTGGGCCTTTAATCTGTGGGAACCGCACGAACTCTGGTTAGCGTCAGAATGAATTGCAGGGCATCCAGCTGGTGCCAGAGACTTGCTGGTGTGGGAAAATCCACACAGCTGGGGTCAGAAGTGAAGTATTTTCAAAATAAGTGAGTGCAAGCATTGAAGGAAAACAGAAGAGTTTCCTAGATGATCATACATCAAAATATAATTGTTACAGCTGTAAAAAATACAAACGAAGCCACTTCCAAATAGAGTTGGAGTCCTGGCTTCTGCTGCTCAGTAGTTAGAGCACTGGCCTGTGCACCCAAGGACTGAGAGTTCAATTCCCTGTCAAGAGCACACACCTGATTGTTGGTTGGGGCACATGCGGGAGTCAACCAATCGATGTGTCTCTCTCACATCGATATTTCTCTCTCTCTCTCTCTCTCTCTCTCTCTCTCTCTCTCTCTCTCCCTCCCTCCTTTCTTCCCACTCTCTCTAAAAATCAATGGGAAAAAATATCATCTCTGATAACAAACAAAAAAACAAACAAAATGGAGTCGGAGCTGACATCCCAGGCAGCCACCTTGCATGTCTTACTTCTCAAACCTCTGGAATGTTAAAAATGGGCAAAATGACCTTTGGACTGTGCCTGAAGCAGCACTGTGTTCCAAACAATTGCTTGCAAAGATAACAGGAAAGCAGGGCATTAAAGTCATTCTTCAGAATTCGTCACCGTGTCACCTTGTCTGCACCTGTAGAAATGCCTTCCGTAGCCTATCTGCAGCCATAGAAATGCCTTCCTTCTAGTCACGTAATAACTCCCCTTCCCCTTCAGCTCCCGATCGGAACCCTGGGTTTTTGCTGGGATCGGTGCTTCCTGAATTCCTATTTTCTTGGCTCAAATGAGCACTTGTTGCCTGTCACTGTGGCTTTTTATTTTTAGATTAATACCGCTAAGATCCACATAAGAAAACAAGAAGTTAAATGTAAAGACTGCTCTCCTCTTTACATTTTTATTCCTGATGCTATATGAACACTTTTATGCCCAACATTATTGGAAGTCAAAGTTATTGAATTTTCAGTTACCTCTTACTATTTAAGAGGCGAAGGTAATTGCGAAGGTAATTTTTAATTTTTAATTAGCCAATCTCTTTTGCCGAGAGAAATGTTGGGAATATGTCTTCCCACGTCTGATTTGCTTTTCTAAAACATACTTTGGAAACTAAAACACAACCATGAGCAGGTAGTTCCCTGGACTAATAATGACAGTGAAAGCGCAGCTTCTAATTAAGTATGTCTTCATTCTGTGAAGAGAAGGATATATGAACTCGTGTCCCACCAGCTTTCTACTTGTTCTTCTCTATTGCAGTGATTAGCAAGGGATAGTTTTTAACGGGCGCGTTTATTGGGCGTCCTCTGAGGGAGGCTTTAAAATCCTACTAACTTTACTCCTCCAGGCTCTGAAGCACGAGTGGTGTTTAACTCATGCCCCGGGGAAGAGCAATTCCTTCCCTACACATTAAGGTAACAATTAGGTGCTTTGAAGTCTCCTAATATATTCTAGGGCACCTGTTCCCAGGCACCCAGGAGAGAATAGCCTGAGAGGCCCTGTTAATTTAAGGGAGGCTCCCAAATTGCTGAAAATTTAGCATCACCCCTTTCACACACACACACACACACATACACACACACACACACACACACACGCACACAAACACACACACACACGCACACACGCACGCACACACACACACACACACAAACGATACTGCACACTCATCCAAGGGTATCTTTCACTACCACACGCCCAGCTCTGCAAATTCATTTGACAAAGTCTTAAGTTATAGGGCAATGGCACTTTTAAATGGTCATTCCTAAATGTCCCAGGTGCTTATGGTCAAACTAAACTCTTCCAACAAATTCAAGAAATGCATAGGTTGTGTTTGGGTGGACATTTTTGTTTCCGACCTCATATGCCACTCTTTGTTGAGCATTTAGTCTTAACTAAATAGTATTTATCTAAAAAATGAGCAACCTTAGGAACAAAAAAGTTAACACACACTTAGTCCAGCAGTCTGCTAGCCTGACCATCAAACATCGTTTTGACGAGCCAATAGCAACTAATAAAATAAGAGGCCATCACTTAAAAAGTTCAAAAATAATTAGCACAAGTGAAGTCGAAAAATTTTGCAACTTATTGATGGTATTACTCTATTAAGCACAGTGTCTGTGTCAGTGTGGAGATATATATATATATATATCCATGTCCATCCCTAGGGGTCCTCTAGGTGAAGTCTTTACCCTTGTGAATGGCCAGACACGCCACAGCCCACCATCGTCCGCAGGAAGACAAACCAGATGTACGAGGGAGAGAAAGAGGTCAGCAAGGAGAAGTAGGCTCCCCACAGGAATGAGATGAGCAAAATCTGAAGCAACAAAAAGAAAGTCATTAATGGGACCTGCCTCCATAGAAGATAGGGGGACCCTCACTTGCGAAGGTAATTTTTAATTTCCATCCAGATGTTTGCTCCTCTGAGGGGCTGGCCTACAGCGAGCTCACTGATTTCCCCCAATCATCAAATACCAACCGTGACATTCTATTGTCCCAAAGCCCAGACATTCCGTGGACGTAAGAAGCTGCAACCCTGCAGAGAATTTTTATGAGTTTATTTGGGGCAAACTGATGACAGCTGCTGGGGAGCAAGATCTCAAATGCTCTGGGGAATGACAGCGGTGCGGTTCCTTTCATACATTTGGAAATAAGGCGGGAACCTAAGGAAGATTCTATGGAGGTCGGAGAAAGCAAGGCGGGAAATCTCTAGGGTTGGATTGCAGGATAGTTCTGTGCTGGTTGAGAGTGCCTATGACTCGCCTCTGTCTCCAAGGGATCTGGAAAAGAGGATTGCGCTGGGATTTCCGAGGGGTGTGCCTGGATGCCCAAGAACAATGGACAGGGCTTGCTTAAGGAAGTCATAGGCTGGGAGCATGACTGCCCACCATGACCAACCCAGTTAGGAATTTATGATCACATCACCCTGTGAGGTTACTTTTGCTCACTGGACTTATCACATTTATTAGAGCCCCTACTTCACTCACAATTCTTTTTGTTTTAAATAATTATTTTCCAAAATTATGTATTGATTTTAGAAAGGGAGGAAGGAGAGAGAAAAAGAGAGAGACAGAGAGAGAGAGAGAGAGAGAGAGAGAGAGAGAGAGAGAGATTTGTTGTTCCACTTATTGATGCATTTATTGGTTGACTCTTGTATGTGCCCTGACTGGAGATCGAACCCAAAACCTTGGTGTATTGGGACAATGCTCTAACCAACTGAGCTACCCAGCCAGGGCCCATTCACAATTCTGAGTTTAGGCCACTCTTTGAAATTCCCCAACTGCATTGAGAATGCAGAAACTTGCCCTCCCTGCTCAAAAGGATGTCAGGAGCACAGGAAGCATTGTGTGGGAGTAGGGTATAAGGAGAAAAATTAAGGTATTTGTTTTTTCTCTAATTGTAAGAACAACACAAGTTCATAGTAGAAAATATGGAAGAAAAAGAGCCTGGCCGGCATGGCTCAGTGGTTGAGCATCGACCTATGAACCAGTCAGTCACGGTTCGATTCCTGGTCAGGGCACATGCCCAGGTTGTGGGCTCAATCCCCAGTGTGGGGCATGCAGGCAGCAACCTATCAATGATTCTCTCATCATTGATGTTTCTCTCTCTCCCTCCCTCCTTCTCTCTTCCTCTCTGAAATCAATAAAAATATATATATTTAAAACTATTTAAATTAAATCACCCTTAATTCTCCAACCCAGAGAAAATACTCTTAACATGATTTTATCCAATTTTCCCTGTTTCTTAAAAAAATGTTTGATTTTGAGAGAAAGAGAGGAACATTGATTTGTTGTTCCAGTTATTTATGTATTCCTTAGTTGATTCTTGTATGTGCCCTGACCAGGGATTGAACCCATAACCTTGGTTTCTTGAGATGACACACTAACCAACTGAGCTCCCCAGCCAGAGCCAGAAAACATATTTTTAATGGCCGTAAAATATTCCATTGGAAAGATGTAATATAATACATATAAATATAATGCATAAACCTTTCCCCTGTTATTGAATATTGAAGTGATTTCACATTTTCTATAAAAATGAGCTGTGATGATGAATGTGTGTAAATCTTTGCAGTTCTACGATTATCTAAACAGGCTAGATTTCTGGAATGACAATTGTCAGGTGAGGAGGATGGCTATTCTCAAGGTTCTTGATCTGCCAAACCGATGGTCAGAAAAACTATACCAATAGTATGTGAGGGCATCCATACACGTGCAGGTCTCTTAGAGAAAAATTCCTTCTGAATTTGATGTTTGAAATAGACTAGATAAGAAAAAAATTATATCTGGCTTTTGAGGATATAGATGGGTACTGTCTAAATCAGTACCCAGGAGAGAACAATGAGCCTCCTTAAATTCCTCGTGAAGGCACACACCATGGGGGCCAGCCTCCACACCTTCTGCAGAACTTCAAAAATTAAAGGCCAATGATTGCAGAAAATTGTTCTTTCAATATCCACATAAAAATGCATCTCAAACAGTTCCGAGGCAGTTTAATGGTTTCCAGACCCAACCTTATCTTTCTGATGCATTCCTTCCATTTGATGTAAAACTGTCAAATACTGAGGTGTGCGCACCCTAATTGGAACTCCTGAGGTGCCAGATGTACTTTTGCCTACTTTTCTGCCTCTACGAGCGCCACTCACTTCTCCAAATGTGGAGCCGTTTCAGGCTTCTTGAAGCTTTGCTCTTGGCTATAGCCCTCAATAAGGCCCCAATAATAATCTTTCTCAGGTTTATAGAGATTCACTTTTCTTTTAATTGACACTACGTAATTTTGCTTTTGATAACTCCTGTGACTGAATGCTTTTCAAGGTTTCTTAACCATTTGTACTGCTTTTGTAAATGCCTTTCTGTGCTCTTTACATTTTTTTGAGATATTGGTGGAGGGTTTTGTTGTTGTTGTTGTTGTTGTTGTGTGTTTCAAAAAAATTTATTTAGAAAGTCACAGAGGTAGAAGAAGTGAGCCAGCTGGGCTGCATGGGCTCAGGGAACAAGTTACAGAGGCAAAAGAAGGGCCCTTGAGTTTAGGAAAAAGAGGCAAGGAAAATGCGCCTGGGGCAGGGGGTGCGGAAAGCCGTGGGCGTGCTCCTTAGAGAGAGCCCCCGAGACACTTGTGTTTTCATATAAATGGTAAGAGTTGATGATATTTGTTTTGTGTACTTCCAAGCATACAGCCAAGTCTGTTACTGCTTTGCTTTGGGGCGTCTCCCTTTGAGTTTATGCTTTGAGAGGCATCCCCCATGAGAAAACCGACAAGAAAAGAAGAGAGACCTGGGTTTGTAATCAGAAGACATAGATTTGTCTTGATGTTTAATCCAGTATGTGTGTGACCATAAGTAAGTGGTTCAGTTTCAAAGTTAACTAACGTGAAGCTGCTATGTTTCTCTGTGCAGATTCCACATTCTAACATGTTCTCCCCATGCACATCCACCAACTCCCTACCTGGTCCATAGGGACCTAGTACAGGGCCAGATGCCTCAGGAAAGATGAGCAAGTGAGAAGATAGGACTGGAATTCAGGCAAGTGATGTCAGAGGAGGGCATTTCTGCGCTTTCTATCTTGGGTATTGATGGAGAAATGTCCGCTAAAGAGAAGCAGTGGTGACATGGCCACAAAACAACACACAGAAGAAAACTGCAAATCATCTTTCAAGGCCAACCTACCTTCCAGCGGCCATATCTGTCAGCCAGGAGGCCAAAGAGGATGCTGAAGACCATGTAGCCAAAAAACACCATCTGGAGGGGGTGGGACGGGGAGTGGTGAGAAAAAATTATTCTCGAAGCAGAGTTGTGTTGACCTGCTAATTCAATGCATTAAGCGTGCATTCTCCTCAATTCCAAGTAGACTAGAACTATGCACGGGCAGAGTGAAGAACAGGTGTTCACGAAGGTCTCCCCTGACTCCTGTTGAACCTGTTCAGGGCTTTGAGGCTAATGCATCTCCTTGGCAGATCTCACACCTGGAAACACTGCCACCAGGTGGAAATCGGGGGGAAGAACAGGTAACTGCTTTCCCTCCGATCCAAGATGCTTTCCTTGGCCCTACTCAGCTCAGATGTGTAATTGTGAATTTCCGTATTAATAACTTTTAAAAAACTCCATTCATGCTCCAATTCTACACAGAGTTGAGACTTCTAGAATCAGTCTCCTTTATGTATTACAGATAAACATAAACTTTTAACAAACACCAAACCAACCATTCATTTAGAAATACTCTTCAAATCGAATACAAACCTACCTCTTTTCCTTACTTGTTCTCACAATGACTTTCCCTAAAGAAAACTCAAGAACCTGGATATAATACCAGCGTTTTAACTTAGCCTGGTTGTAAATGGATGTCTATGCCTTTGGCAGCTCCAAGCTTCACTGCTTTGCCTTCTAGTAAGATTGCTGGCTGGCTGCTTCCAGGGTAACCAAAGGACGGGTGGGAGCTGGCATTTTTAACACTTTTCCCACGAAGATCTGTGTCTCTCTGCTGCTTGCATTGCTTTCTCTTTCTCTCTCTTCCTTACTCTTCCTAAGGAAGACTCGGAATGGTTTCTTCCACAGGAAACCATTGAAAACAACAACATCGGATCTATTCTTGAATGACAAAAGCCATGCATTTCCTCTGTGCACTGTCCTTTCTGGGAAGAGATGGGGGCGGGGGGCTGTTTTCTAAGTGCCAGGCCTGGGTCACTGCTTCACCGCAGTGCGATCTAACCAGTCCTCTGCAAAATGGTAAAAACAGGACACAGGGATATACTTTGCATAAATCTAGATTCATTCAATATAAAGGGCTCTTTTATCCTGGAATGATTTTATTTCTGATTGTTGGTAATAAATAACGTGCCCTTCTGTTTTTGAAAGATGGTGGTTGTCGATGGCAAGCTTTTCTGCCTCTTTCTCTTCTTCTAATGACCTTACTTGCCAAATACACATATGTTCTAATGTCAGCCACTCCATTTAAGAAATATATTCTATCAGCTGGTGAATCCCAAATTTTGGGTTCCTCTGAAATTAAATTCCTACAGCCACGCACCGCTCAGTGATGAGTGTACTCTGAGAAATGCATTGTCTGGTGATTTCGTCATCATGCTGACATCATAGAGTGCACTCACTAAATCCCGATGGTATGCCTAACACAGCTGGGCTCTATGGTATAGCCCAGTGGTCGGCAAACTGTGGCTCACGAGCCACATGCGGCTCTTTGGCCCCTTGAATGTGGCCACGAAGTTTCAATCGCACTGTACGTGTGCGCCCACACGTGGTATTTTGTGGAAGAGCCACACTCAAGGGGCCGCAGTTTGCCAACCACAGGTATAGCCTATTGTTCCTAGGCTGCAAGCCTCTACACCAGTGGTTCTCAACCTGGGCTGCACATTAGAATCACCTGGGAATTTTTTTAAAATCCTAACTTCTGGGCCTCATCCTTCGGAAATTCTGTTTCTTTGTTACTACTGTTGTGGCCCCACCCCATAACAAAGAAACAGAATTTCCGTAGGATGATGCCCAGAAATCAGGATTTTAAAAAGATTCCCAGGTGATTCTAATGTGCAGCCAAGGTCGAGAACCACTGGATTACAACCTGTTACTGTACAAACAACACAAGATTAAGTTAACCTTATGGGAATGTGATGCAATCAAGAGATATGGTAAACATGAGATGGATGAGGCTACTGCCAGCGTAATACGTGTACTGTTTCACAGCAAACTCAGCTCCTCTTTGCAGCAGTATTTGGTGTGAGACTCATAAAGCTATTCATATGGTCATTGAGAAAAGTTGAGTGTATAACACAAACAATTCAATTTGGTGACTGGTTAAGTCACACTAAGTAGCCTCTTAGCATCCTGAACTAATAAAGCATATCTAACCCACGGCTTAAGAGTTACTTTCTCTGATTTGCATTTATCTCTTTGGGGCTTTTGTTGGGAGCTGGAAAATAAGCAATTCAAAGTCATACTCTCCAGGGTGGGGAAAAACAGGAAAGGCCCCAAATGCTGGTTGGTGCCTGAAGACGCATCAGCTTTGAAAGCCAACAGACTAGGGGTGGGGTACCCTTTGAGTCTCGCCCTGTGGGATGGGGAAGGGGCGTGGAAGCCCTGGTCTCCAGTTGGCTCATTTGCAGCTCAGGAAGCAGGTCACTCACCGTGGTCACTAACGCCACCTGCCAATTCTCCAGCTGCCATTCACAGCGGATGACGGGAGACACAACCGCTATTAACATGATCTCCATGGCCTCAGCAATCTTAAGGAAAAGGAGGAAAAATGCTGTGTCTGAGTGCCAGCCTGTCACCACTTCTCCCCACGCCTGCCTTCCACCACCCTTTAGTCCCTTCCCTCCCCTCCCCCATTTAGGGAGCACCTACTGCGTACCCCCTTAGCACTTCTTGAACATTTTGAAATGTCCCTGGATTTATCGCTCACATTTACTTGTGATGCTGGGGACGCATGCATCTGCACTGTATCTGAGGGTGCGGTGCGGAGGCCAGTCACGTAGCTAGTGGCTCACCCGCCATCCACTTCGACCTAGCTTTGTGTTTTATACTCATCCTCGTGGAGGTCTCAGGACATGCCCCTGGCAAATGGATTTTTAAAATAGTCCCTTTCTCAAGAAGTTGGGATGGGGAGACAAGGTCATGAAAGCCAGACAACAATAAAGGAACAAGTGCAAACAATATGAGTTCGTCATCAGGAAAGAATGTCTACTTAGCAAACAGTATAAGATGTGCTGCTAAATATTCCTTTCTTTTCTTTTTTCTTTTTTTTTTTTTTGTTAACCCTCACCTGAGGATACTTTTCCCAATTGATTTTTAGAGACAGTGGAAGGAAGGGAGTGAGAAAGAAAGAGAGAGAGAGAGAGAGAGAGATGTGAGAGAGAAACATTGATGGATTGCCTTCTACACACACCCTGACTGGGGCCAGGGATGAACTTGCAACCCAGGTACATGTCCTTGACCAGGAATCAAACCCGAGATCCTTCCGTGTGTGGGTCGACACTCTAACCACTGAACACACCGGCCAGGGCCTAAATACTCCTTTCAACAGAAAGGTTAATTATCATCCTCTGTCCATATCTTGCTATCCATTACGGGGTGAGCGTATTTCCCAGGGAAATGAAGTGGATGCTAGAAAAGAATTGATAGAATAAATAGAAATAGAGGAAAGAAATCCAGCTCAGAAAAATGAAGAAGAAAGTCACAGATAGTTCTGAGGTTTTGTACCTGGAGGAAGGAATGAAAATGACATCATTAAAAGGGAAAAGGGTATCAAGTGCGGATCAGGGGGAAATGAATTGTTGGGGACATGTTCGCCTCACAAACTCCCTGCCCCCCTCACATCTGCCCAAGTGGACATCCCTGCACTGAGGTCAGTGCAAGACTCTGTGTGTCCCACAAGGAAATGGCTCAGGAGACTCAAACGGTCTCCAAGCCGCACTCACCCCAGTGCTGCCCATGATGAGGAACAGGGCAATGTGGAAGCGCCCGAACCCGATGGTCTCCACGGCATCTTCCACGGTGAAAGTCTTGGGCTCTAACGAGGAAAAGCAAAGTGAAAAGAACAGCCTGTGGGGGTAGGAAATGTGTGTGGACTATTGCTCACCCCAGAGGATGTTGGGAAACCAATTCCTGTTATAAAAACTAGTAAATCCGGGGGAAGGGGGGGGAATTAAGCAGCAGCTTGAGGTCAGAGACTTCTGGATCACCTGACCTTTCGGCTGTGGCTCTGGGGCTCCCAGGCTCAACCTCCGAAGGCTGAGGACGGTGACCGGCTCCGCCCGCTTGGTTGGCATCTTCTGATGGTTCCAATTTCCCACACGGCTTCCCTGATGGAACCAGGAGAGGGGACACGGAAAGAGCTGTGGCTGAGTACATATTTTTCTTCAATCTTCACAGAAAATCTGTGAAGTGGGTCTTACATATTAATGCATCTGAAACACAGAGAGGTTAAATGGCCACATGAGACCACTGGGCCCCAGTGGCTAGCCATCCGCCGTGCGTGGGGCCAGGTGAGCTCTGGACAATCTGACCAGTAGCCTCTGAGTGGGGCTGGAGGGGGCTGCACTACAGAGAAGTAATCTCCATGCCAGGTCTTTCCATCCCACGGGTCCTGTCTACACAGTGTAACCGTATGCCACAGTGCGCGTTCTTGTCTATTACTCTTACTTGTTACTGACAGAAAGCCATGCAGCCCTTCTTGTCATTCCCCCTTTCCGTATTTAATCCTGAAAAAGGATTCTTAATCCCCAAACCAAAAGAAAAATAAGCCAAAGAAAGCTGAGGAGCAAGTTAGTGAAATATTTTCCAAATGACGTTAAGATACAGTCGTTTAGCCTTAACCGGTGTGGCTCAGTGGATAGAGCATCGGCCTTCGGACTGAAGGGTCCCGGGTTCGATTCTGGTCAAGGGCATGTACCTTGGTTGCCGGCACATCCCCAGTGAGGGGTGCGCAGGAGGCAGCTGATCGATGCTTCTCTCTCATCGATGTTTCTAAGTCTCTATCCCTCTCCCTTCCTCTCTGTAAAAAATCAATAAAGTATATATATTTTTTTAAAAAGATACAGTCGTTTAACTCTACACCCCTAGTGGGATCCACAGAACTCCTAATCTGGTCTCAGTAATTATATTGTGAGTAATAACACTGGCATCATTATTTTGAAGCCAGCACATATAGGAGGCTCATTTTACCATCCCCTGCTTTCGAAGAAATGTAACAGTTTTTCAAAATAAATCGTTCACAAAAGGAGGTTCTGAGAGTCTTCAATCACTCTTCAGACCCCTGGGGAGAAGCAGTCGGGGCGCAGGCAGCCCATCAAGTCCTTAATGTTGGCAAGAACCAGCACTGCATGTGTCGCGTGGGCCCCTGTGGGGGCCGGGGAGCGTCTGACATGCTCCGCGCCCCGAGGAGTTTTTCTTCCAGCTGGGGGCCCCGCAGACACACATAAAAGCAACTATACGGCAAGGTAGACATCCTTTGTTTTCTTAAAACGCTGTCACAGTGACAGATAGATCAATAATGCTCAGAAAGAAGTCCTGGAACTCCCCTTCCCAAGAGACACCATGAAAAGCATGAAAAGTTATTATTTCACAGAGCGGGGAAAGTAAACATAATTGGTCTCTCAGCCCACCTGGAAGCCCGAAAGACATGAAGACAGACTGTTCTAGAAACTGCCTTTGTTTCCGTCCAGACCTTGTCCCAACACCCTTTGGAGGGGTGTGCTTTTCTGGCAGGGGTGGCGGGAAGTGTGCACTTATTAAAGCGGGAACAGTGCAACAGGAGGGGCTGAGGACAGAGAGCCCAGGAGGGGCTGCCCTGGCTCATGGGGAGTCAGAGAAAAGGGGCCTAGGGGCAGGTTCAGGGGGTGCGCCTGGGGCACGCTGCTGCTTGCTCATGGCTCCCCTGGTTGCAAGTCTCTGGGGGTCCCTTAGAATTTAGAGCAGCGGTTCTCAACCTGTGGGTCGCGACCCCTTTGGCGGTCGAACGACCCTTTCACAGGGGTCGCCTAAGACCATCCTGCATATCAGATATTTACATTACAATTCATAACAGTAGCAACATGACAGTTATGAAGTAGCAACGAAAATAATTTTATGGTTGGGTCACAACATGAGGAACTGTATTTAAAGGGCCAGAAGGTTGAGAACCACTGGTTTAGAGTTATGTGCCTGAGGGGGAAGGAGGGGGGAAGGAGAAGGCGTGGGCACGTGCTTCAGGGAGGGAGAGCCCACCTGGAGGGTGTTCTTTATCTGTAACATTTAAATCCTGTGGACTGAGGGCCTCTTTGGTTATAAAGAGGCCCTTAGTACACATTAAACATCGACTGACTGCATATCATGTTTCCAAAGACGGGAAGGTGAACCACAGATTCCTGCAATCAAAATATGAAAACAAGACCATGCGGTGAGGATTAAATAGTGGTGATACCTTGTGGCTGTACTAAAAATCATTAAATTATACACTATGAATGGTGAATATTATTGTATACAAATTATATACTTTTTTTTCTCTGAAAATAGTCATTTAAATCATGGCAGCAGACTTAAAAACCATAGGGACTCTTGCCATTTATAGTGTTAAAGAATGAAGCAATGGAGTTGGGTGGGAAAATACCTTTTTTAATCCCAGTAAGTTCATCTTAAGTTCAGTGACAACTCAATGCTCAACAGTAAGTTCAGTCTTCACTCAACACATAACTCTTCTACCAGCCAAGTTTTGTGACTTCTCATAGCAATGTAAACACGTTTTACAATTTTAACAGTCATAAAGACTGACGTTTGAGTAATAAGACAACGTGCAGTAAGTCTCCTTGCTCTTTGTATTAAGCGGCAAGAAACCCAGGAAATCTGCCACTTACTATTGAGCAGAATAAGCTTTAATTTGAGGTGTGTTTTAACCTGATTAGGTGGTCCCATGGGTCCTAAATATCTTACTTGCTTCTCTTATCAGCAACGAGAAGTGATTTCTCTCAGACGGCCTGGCAAAGGCGTTACATCCAAGATAATGGCATTAAGGTTCTCTTAATTAAAGCTGATCCCATAAAAAACAATAAAAATAAAATAAAGCTGATCCCGTAAAGGGAGATTTACAGTTGTGATTTCAGCTATATATACTACACACACGCGCGCACGCACACACACACACCCAGAGGCCAAATCACAGAGTCATTTATTTTACACTGAGAAGTTTCCAAAAGTAACCAGGTTTGCTACAGATATTAGGAGATGATATTAGGCAATACACAAACAAACTTTTAAAAGTTTTAATAGTTGTCTATGGAAGAAGTATCCAAACCTGGAAAGCATTTTTATGAGTTTATTTGAGCGCAAACTGGCAATGGCCGGGAAGCAAGACCTCAGATGCTCCTGAGAATGACAGGATTTTGTTGTTTGTTTGTTCTCTATTTCAGTTTCATTTTTTATTGAATTTATTGGTCTGACACTGGTTAACAACATTATACAGGTTCCAGTGCATACTTCCACCACACGTCATCTGTACACTCATGTTTTTCTTTGTTTGTTTTTTAATATTTTTCTTTTTTTTTGTTCTTATTTGTTTTTTCTTTTATTCTTTTCTCCAGTAAATGTTTGTAGTAGCCAGCCAGTGTGGCTCAGTGGTTGAACCAGGAGATCACAGTTGGATTCCCGGTCAGAGCACATACCCAGGTTGTGAGCTCGATCCCCAGTAGGGGGCGTGTAGGAGGCAGCCAATCAATGATTCTCATCATTGATGTTTCTATTTCTCTCTCCCTCTCACTTCCTCTTTGAAATAAATAAATATATTTTTTTAAATGTTTGTGGTAGATATATACCATAAATTACACAAAAAAAATAAGATCCTAATAAATTAATGGCCAAATTATATGAACAGGCAATTCACAAGAGGATATATAAATTATAAACAAAACTGGAAGACTGTTCACTTTCTGTAGTAACTGACAATTATAGTAACAAAAACCTTTAGTTATCATTTTATAACTGCTAAATTAGCAAACACAGAAAAGACAGAGGGAGGGCGGGGGAAGAGGAAGGGAAGAAAGGAAGGAGGGAGGGATGGAGAGAGGGAGAGAAGGATTGGAGGAGGCAGGGAGGAGGCAGGAAAGCAGCAGCCACGGTGAGACAGATTAAACTGGTTCCATTTCTCTTTCCATTTCTTCGCCTGGAAATAAAACTAGTCCCAGCTTCTTATGGGAGAAACAGCCTGCTGCCTTCCAGTAGCAAGTCTTCCTTATACCTGGTGGATGGGTGGCCACTGAGTTGCAGGTGGCTGTTGGAGGGGCGGCACTTCTGAGGAAGCCCTGTTCAACCCCCTCTCCCTCTCCCTCCTCCTCCTGCCTTTTTCCAGCCCCTGGAGACCTGATGGCTGATGCCTCAGCAGCTGTCTCTGGTCCTGATATGAACGTGAGGATGGACAGGTGGAAATGCGGGCTAATGGGGCAGAGCGTAGTGAGAAAGAGCCTGGGACCTGACGAGGCGGGCTCTCCCACGCCTTGGTCTACTTACCTCCCGACGGCTTCTACCTTCTACGTGGGAAAGAAAAGAAAGCTCTCTCTCGTCTAAGACCCTGTTATTTCTGGTCGCTATTACTTACTTGCAGTTGTGCGCAACAATTTTTTTAGGCTGGTCAAGTGAAGCCGTGGGAGGAACACGGAAAGCTGTGACCAACTGGCTGTGATGAATTATAAACACTGCCCTCCGACAGTCAGTTGTGTGCAATTCTTAACTGACAAACTGCCGCAAGTCTGAAATGAGGACTAAATGAGACGATGTTTGTATAATATGGCAGAGTGCCCACTGCAACATAAGCACTCACGGCTGTTCGTATCGTTTCTCATCTCGGAATGAAGGTATCAACTAAGCTTCTAAAACTTCCCTATAACTATAAATCAAATACACTCCACATTAGTTCTTATCTACGTAGTTAGCAAACGTATATTGCTCCAAAGGCATTCATTGCTAATATTCTGTGAACATGAGAACACCTTGGGCTCAAATGAAAAACCACCTAAAAGTAACCACCAGTTACTTGTTTTCTGAAATAGGTTGCTCTTATTTCAAGGGTAAACTGGGAGGGTATTAAGAAACCCTCCCAGGTGCTATGTGCCTGTTGGAAAATACGACCTCGAAACCACTCCAACCACAATGTCACACTGATCTTCGCCCAAACCAGTCGCCTAGCTTCCTTGTGAAGGCACTCCTACACAACGGATGACTTCACATTAAAAATACCTCTATTGTTCCATATCGCTTTACATGTATAATTAGCGTATTTTAGAGAAAGAAAAACCTTCCCCAC